TTTTTTTTTTTTAATTTAAAAATCAGCTGTAGAATAAACTAGAAGATGCTAGCAAGTGCAGAATGAAAACGGAAGGGAAATGGAAGCCTAGATGTTAACAATTAAAAAACATACTTTCCAGTACTGCCCATTAACTAGGTTACCATTTGAAACTAGCACTGAGCAGCAGAGAGCTTTAGCGCAATCCCACCAGTGTACAGTTCGATGTTACAGCTAAAGCCATAGTCTTAATACTTTCCTGATGGTGGTTCTTAAGACATCAGGCCTCAGAAAAACATTTATCTTGTAACACACGCACCCCCAGCCCAGAGGGGAAGTGCACGGAGTTTGTACACATGCAGCAACACCAGGGTTTGCACTAACCCCCTGCTGCTAGGAGACAATGTAAACTGGTCAAGAGCCAGGCAGTTCCCTAAAGGGAAAGCACACCCCAGCTGCACCAGAACAAGTGATGGAGGGACCTGCCCCTTCTCCAACCCTCAAAGTACTTACACCTTGGTGTGCACACAAGGGAGTACTGCTGCTCTGCCTATGTTAGTTTAATGCTGTACGGGAAGTCAAGAATCCAGCAGTACTGTAACTGCATTTCAGGGTTGTGACAGGAACATGAGACAGATGGAGGAAACTACCCTTTCCATATTCAGGGAGCCCATTGTTCCAGGTAGAGGAAGGCTGGATTGGAAGTCCCTGAGCAATCTGATATTTCCACCTTCTTACACGTATTTTCTGTTGCACAAAAGACTCATTACACCACTGAAGAAAGTAACGTGCACATTTGCCTTTTCTTTCTCTCCCCAGACTAGTGTGGTTAACTATATTGACCAGAGAACTAAACCAAGAAGTGACCAGCTGTTTTTTGTGGTATTTGAATGGAAAGATCCTTTCATACAGACTGTTCAAGATGTGAGTAACATGCTAGTCCCTTTTTGAATCATCTGACTGTACACACTCATGGTTTGTATGTGCATGTACATGCCTCTCTCACCTCGCTCCAAGCAGAAATTCAGAGGAAGGGTGAGGTTACCTGTGAAATTTCAGTCTAGGCTCTTCCTTATATCCAGTAATGCAAATTCTGTGGGGGCCAAGACCAGCTGATGCCTTTCCTTGGCTTGGCCACAATCAGCACTCTCTTTGCAACTAGAGATACCTGTAGCTAAGAAAAAGCACATCTCCCCTGTGTAGCTTTGGGTCAAGTCTGACCTTTTTGCTTAAGGAAGCGGGGCTTGGACAAACCAATTTAATGACTTTAAATTGATTGATAAGGAAGAAACCTAGGCTTAAATCAGAACACTAAAAATCACCTAATATAACTTTTCTCAATTATTAGAATAGAATTTGATACTGCATTCAAACACACAAAGCGCACTTTAATGTAGCTCAATGTGCTGCAGCCAGAGGTGCATGATGTGCTAGACAGGACCTCCATCAGTCTGTGGGGTGCTGGGAACGTGTGCAGGTGTGCACTGCAGGTGCGTGGGCTGTAAGCATGTGAGCTAGATCTTGTTTTCCTACTGTTCTTGGGGAGAAGGTCAGGTACATTTGCCTTCCCCAGAAAAATGTAGAGCAGCCAAGAGTGTGGAGACAACCTGTGCAAAATTTTGCATTTAAAATGGCCCTGCCCGACAACCAAAGTCCATCACTGACAAAATCCACAGCGTTCTTGTCATCATGCCCAAAGCTGGTGTGTGAACACAGACGGTGCAGGGCAGGATGGAGTAGCTGGTCCTGCACACTCCTGTGGTGGCTGCACCAGGGCCAGGTCCCCTCCTTGGTGCAGGCGCCTCCGTAGCCTCGCAAGCCCAGGCCTGTTCTGGCTCCTCTCTGCCAGAGGGGATCACACCTCTGCTGCCTTTGAGCTGAACACTGCTCTCCATCCTGTGCATGGGGGGGCTCCTTTCCTCTTGCTGTAGTTCACAGGCGCTGGCAGCCAGCACTGCTTTTAGGAAGATAAGCAGGTATGGAAAGCCTGTTCAAGGCCTGGCTTGGGTGGTGACGCTGTGCTCATGCTGACCATCAGAACTGCAGGCTGTGCTGCAAGTCCCATAGCTGTGTGATACTTATTGCTGCCTAAGCCTAGCTCTGCTTGCTGCATCTGAGATCCTAGAAGTCATCCTTGTGCCTAGAGGTGCGAGGAGAATTGCAAACTGTAAATAACTACTCTTGAACTAAATATAATTAAAAAGAGAAAAATAAAATACTTGCTGTAAGAAGTCTGCAGGTTGCTGCTGTCAAAAGCTGGTTTAGCGTTACAGTGCTGTTGCTTCTTTTAGCTTTGTCTTTTGGCAGATCTTTAACGTGACTGCTTTGTCTTGTAAATCATTAATACAGTAAATTTCATCTATCATCTTAAAATTAGCAATTTAACTGTATCTCTAAAATTTTAAACAAGTCAGTATCCTGAAATAGTCTAAAAGGAATTTAGCAGCTAGTATGGAGTGTTTTCCTGATGGATAGAATCAGAAAACCAGGGTGTGAGGCAGATCTGTGGAGGAAGGCACTAGAGACCACCTGTGAAGCATAAAGGAATATGCTGCAAAACACCAGTTTGAAAAATGGAATTGTTTGTTATTGAATAGGTATAATACATGTTGAGTCAGATGAAGGGAATAATATTTTTAATCTCTTTCAGATTATCACAGCAAATCCGTGGAACATGATTGCTCTTCTTTGTGGTATCTTTTTGGCTCTATTTAAGGCAGCAGACTTTGCCAAGTTAAGTGTTAAATGGATGATCAAAATACGAAAGAGACATCTGAAGAGGAGTCGTCAAGTAATGAACCACATAAACTGAGACTAAGGCTGCCTTTTAACTACTCATAGCAAAAGGGATAGAAAATAACTGGAATAAACTTCAATCACCAATTAAAGATGCAAATCAGGTATGTTTTCTTCCAGAAAAATGACAGCTGGAGGAACAGCCTAGTGAACTGGCCTTGGAACCTCAGAAAGGCACTAACTCTAGGACAGGTCTAACAAACTCGGGCTTTTCTGTTCCAAATTTAACAAGTTTACCTCAATATACGGGGGGGACCAGGGGAAAGGGAGGGAATTCACTAATGTTCAAGAAGTCACAGTAGTGGTTAAATTCTAAGAAGAGGGACAGTGTTTGAATCCTTCTCAGGCCAGGAGACCATGCAACTTCTGCATGAGCTGCATCTGCTGCTGTAACACAGTTACGTCTGTGACTGTGTTTAGTGGAAGGTAAAGCACTCAGCACAGAACAGGCTGGCCTCCCCTCTCCAAAGTATGTATGTCTTAAAACAAAATACACTGGAATTCTATTATGTGTCATTTTTGAACTAAAGTATAGTGACTTTAATATTAAAAAACCCTTCAAAGAAGATACTGTGTACATGCTTTGAAACTACCTGGTCTCAGATTCAGATGGAGCTTTACAAGAGGTAGTCTGGGCAGGAGTATTACTGCAAGAGAAGAAGGTGAAAACTGAAAATCTTCCTGATTAGTCCAATTCAAAGTAAACTCAGGCGACTCACTACCTGGCTATTGTCTGAGCTGATGACAGAGTTCAAAGTCTGTCTCAGGCTGTTGCTCTTCCCCCCCCATCTTTGCTAAGGAAGTGAAAAAGAGTCTTTCGTCAGCCTGACATTTAAATGGGATTCTGCTCTATAGAGAACATGCACTAATGGTGCTGGTGGGGTGGCATCGCTGCCTTCCTTCTAAGTCCCTTGTTAGTCTGAATGCACAGGGCAGCAGCACACTGCTCTGAGTGCTCTGAAGGCTTGGTGCAAGGAAAGGAGCATGCCAAGTCATGTTTTGCTTCTTCCATCCTCTACTTAGAGTATTAACATAGACATAAGCACATCAAAAGTACCCCCTCTCTCTTTTGCCTTCTAAGGAAGCATGTTGGAACAAAATTCAATACTTTCAGCTGATTTCCAGAGCAAATCAAGGCACTGCATCGATCAAACCCAGCCTTAAGCAAGGGAACAACAAACTCACTGCAGTAAGAAAAACAAACTAGCAGCCCTGGCCGCAGGCACAGAGGCAGCGTACAGGTTCTCCTGCGTCCAGGCCAGCAAGGGCAGGTGGAAGTTACAGCTTGCCAGCTACTTGCAGTTACTGCTCTTGCCCCCTCCTCCCCAGGTCCTGGGGTGGTCCTTCAAACGGCTCTTCATTTCAGTGGTGGAGTCTGGGCTAACCTGATCACATCCTTCGGGGGGGGGGGGGA